ATTTCTAAAATTCAGAACCTCAGTAACGGGTCACATTCTGAGCCAGAGTCAACCAATGGCAATGAGTTTAAGTTTTGACTATTACGTAAAATAAAGCTCCAGGAACCAACAAATTAACAATCAAGTTGTTTCAGCAAACAGATGTAGCCTGGAATGTGCTAATTAATCCATGGCAAGAAATCTGGAAGGCAGCTAGTTGGCCAACAGTTAATAATGCTGGCAAGGATGACATGACAGTGCTAAATTGGCTAAACTTTTTGCAAATCAATTTGGTAATAATAAAAACTATGAAAGCCTATAAAATTTTGGTCTCAGAAAATAATTCTTGGATTCAAAATATTAAACAGTATATCTACAAGATGGTCTTTACGTAAAGGTGCCCGTTACTTTGAGAGTCATACTGTTTAATAATAACCAGCACAGCTGGCTCCCAACTCAAGATGACCTCATTACAAAGCAAAATGCTGCCTAGTCCTTCACCATGACTACCTGGGAATCAGGCTGTGTTCTTCACAGTGTTTTGCACTAGATAATTTTTGGAAATAACATGTCAAGAATTTTTCCCCAGGCTAGCAACAATCTGAAAGAGCCACTGAAACCTGTTAGGCATCATAGTAGCACAGAGCTTCCACTGAAAAGTGGCAGCTGGCTGCACATGAGGTTGACTGGCTGGAAATCAAACCCAAGTTTCTGGCACTGAGAGCAAGAATTTTACCAGATCATCTCAATATTCTTACAAAATCTCAGAAACTGGTCCACAGATCTTTTTCATTCCAAAACAAGTGTCAGAATACATAAAAATGAAATATCCAAACAGACTTAAGTTTTATTATTCTTTGACTTTTTGTGGGTGTCAGGACACTTCTCCTAAGGCAAATTAATTCAAGTACTCCTTCCTTTTGTTTCCACAAATCAGAAATGTTGTTGCACTAAAAGAATGGCAATCAAGAAAAACTGTATATTCACACAATGGAGTACTAAGGAGCACTAAAGAACAAGTATTTGAAAAGTACAACACAATATGGAATGGTTTAGAGAGAGCATCATGTTCAGGGAAATAACTCCATTATAAAAGGACAAATACTGCATAAGACAGCTATTGTGATAACAAGAGGGTAATTGAGGGGTGGGAGGGGGACAGGAAGAACAGAAATATAATAGGTAGATAAAGAATACTACAAAGACCAAGACAAGGGAGGATCAAGCTGGGAAGAAATGAGATAAAGACAATATGGTTATTGCAATCAGTAAGCAGAAACAAGACATATATATAGCTGCTAAAAAAGAAAGTGGGATGGAAGAAGGAAGATGTAATCACTAGGACAGAAGAGATTAATGGGAGAATCAGAAGATGAAGAAATAGGTAAGAAGCAAAGGGAACTTGAGGAAAGGGGGAGATAAAAGTAACAGATCAACAGTAATTAATCATATAAAGCACAATGTATAGAAATGATATTATAAAACAAAATGTAAGGCAGCTCTGGTGGCCTAGTGGCAAGAAGCTGTGCTAAAATCCTGAAGATATGAGGTTCAAATCTACCAGATGATCTGTTGGAGAAGGATGGGTAGTCTCCTCCTGTGCCAGTCGGATCTGACTCGATAGCACACAACAACAATAACAACAAACAAACAAAAATTCCCCAAATGTAAATGAATGAAACAATGTATATGAGTTATTGTATAAAAGTGTATGATGGCATAAATAATGTTTTTTTTAAGAAATGACAATCTAATGTATATTTATGACTATTTCTATAGATCTAAACTAACTATAAATTCCTTGTTTCATCCTCTAGTAAGGAAGGAGTGTGATAGGGAGGACATGGATGAAAGGTGACATATGAAAATATCAGTTACCATGTTTTCTCCTAGTTGCACCTGATATCCAATCCATTTTCTACAAACTCACAATAGTTGCCACATACCTGAGCTGCTAAATTGGCGATATTCTCAGACGGAGTATTAACAACACTTGAAGATGGAAGTGGATCCAAGGGCTCTTGGGGATTTTTCTGGCTTTCACTGGGTGGATTCGATTTTTTCAAATTTCTCCTTGATACAGGTATATAAGGTTTTAGGCGCTTTTTACTGTGGGTTTGAATAGGCTCATCAGATTCCAAATTACTCCTTGAGCAAATTAAAGACAAAAATCCCAGAGGTCTTCGGCCACGTCTAGAAATGCAAATGTAAAGATATTAAAGTATAAATAGGAACGGGGAAGAATATATAAGAAGATACATTAATATCAATCTCCTTCTACTCTAGTAACTACTGAGAACACTAAGTAATGACCTATATTTGTGACAAAAGTAAAAACGTACTTGAGAGGTGTTTCTCCAATTTTAATCATGCTACTTGGGGATCTTACTGAAATGCAGATTCGTACTGAGTTCCAGAGCAGGTGAGGCCTGAGTTTTGTATTTCTAACAAGTCCCCAAGAGATAGGCATGCACCTGGTTCCAGAAACAAACATGAGTAGCAAGGATCCACAAAAGGGATCACAGTCCTTGGCCTCAGGCCAAATGCAAGCTATCACCTGATTCTACTAATGAATTTCATTGGACCAAAGCTACGGTCAAACGTTTACATACTGTCTATGAATGCTTCTGGGCTACAGCAGCAGGAATTAGTGGCAGTAGAAGCCACATGGTAAACAATTGCAAATATATTTGATATGTCCTTTAAAAAAATTGTTTGATGCTCTCTGTTCTAGAACACTGCTTTCTCAAGCTAGTCTAACTCAGACCCCTGATGATGTTTCCATTCTATTTTCAGCTCATCTCTAAGGCTGTTATTTATCTCTGCAGTTTACATGACAAAAGCATTAAGCATTCCAGCTACTAATGCCCTTTATCCCTCAGCAGAAAGCACTGCACGCCTTTGCCTCTCCAACATTGCCACGTTAAGAAGCACTGCTCTTCTGTGGCACAAATAGATATGTGCACACCTATGTTTATTGTGATATTATTCCCAATAGAAAAAAGATGGGGGAAAAACACAAGTGCTTATCAAATGAAGGAATGGACAGAGAAACTACAGTATATTTATATAACAGAACACTCTGTATGCAACACAGAAATACAAAGAGGAAGGTCATGAAACACTGCATAACATGGATGACTCGAGAGGGTATCATGCTGAGTAAGGTAAGTCAGCCAGCAAAGGACAAATAATGGATAAGAACACTAATAAACTAAAGCAAAGTTTAAACAGAGAGAATCATTCTAGTATGGTTACTAGGGAGAGGAAAGAGGGGATTAGAAAATTAATTAATAGATAACAATCACTTATTAAATTAGGTGAATAGAAACACAATACGGCATGAAAGGAGGATCAGACATTGTGGGTATTGTAATTAACGTTATGGAACAAAATGTGCATGAATAACTAGTTGAAAGCATCATAGATTTTGTAAACTTCCACTCACACTACAATGAAAATAGAATCATTGCTTTAAATTATGTTAAGTGATATAAATCAGACACAAAAGGACAATTATAAGACCTTCTCTTATATAAGTACTGGTCTGTCAATCTGCTGTACTGAGGTAACTTGGGGTTGCTGCGATGTTGAACACTGTGCTACTTGTGTGTCAAATGCCATAAAGGTTACCCAAGGTGGACAGTGTCTGGTGGAACTCCCAGATTAAGACAAGCTTGGAAATAGGAGTGGCATCCAGTTCCCAAACAACATGCCTTTGGTCACTATGAACTGAGAGAAACGATGATAGTTATAGACCCAGGTTCAGGCCTTTTGTTCAGAGTCGCTATGAGTTATGTTCGACTCGATGGCACTTAACAATAACAACAACTCTTACATAAAACTCAGGAAGGGTTTACACAGAGACAGAATCATTCTTAGATAGTTACTAGTAATGGGAAGGGAGGAAGAAGGGAGGAAAAACAAATAGAAAAGTGAGTGAAAGGAAGAATAATATATAAGAATATGTGAACCAGACACTGTAATGAATGAATTATATTAATTTCTGTTAATCAATATAATAACTTGTTAAAGTCATCCACATAAGGTGCATTGTTATAGTAGCACTAGATAACCAAGTCAGTCCTGAACTTGATATTCATACATGTTAAATCTGTTCTGTATAGCTTTTATCTATACAATGATATGGAGAGGGAAACATTTATTAAAGACTTTCTCACAATACCTGGATAGTGGAGTTTTGGAAGATGATGTTTTGCTGCCCATTTGTTCAGAATTAGAAGCAACACCAGTTTTTGCTCTATCAGAAGCAAGTGTCCCATCCTGAGGTAACTGAGGTGCATTCCTTTCATTATGTGCAACTACTACTGAATCAAGAGATCTACTTCCTATACTCTGTAAAGTAGATTCAAGTTGCCCTTTCTGAGGTTCTGGAGTTGTACATGTGCTTCCTGAGGTAGGAAAAATACTTCGTCCTTTGTAAGAGTCCCCTTTAAAAAAAAAAAAACAAACAAATGGTAAATACATATGGAAATAAATTTCATTTAAAATTTGCAATATTTGTAGGAAAAATATTGAGCTTATATGAACTAAAATCATGACTAATGATTTACCCAGACTATTAAGAGTAACATAATTTGTTAAAAGCTATTCAGACACCAGTTACAGTAATATATTTTGACTTAAAATTAAAAAATCTTTCTCCATAAATATTTCTTGAGCTAGCAAAATCAAAGGGTGACAATTTTCTCATAATTCAAAGCTTGTTAAAATGTGGGAGCTAAGTCAACCCTATGCACAACTGATTACTCTCTGGTCTCTCTGGCGACATGGAAAGCAAAATCCACAGACTCTCATTAATTTCAGCTTAAAAGAGTTCTCTCTTTCCTCTTTAGTAGCTATTAGTTAAGACAAAAGAACATTACTTTCTTTTTATGAGAGAATTATTCTCCCTTATAAAAATAAAAATCATTGCCATACAGTCAATTCCAACTGACAACAACTATTAAATTTTTAAAATATCCAAGAAAAAAAAAAAAAGAAGATACTTTATTGCCCTCAAATCAGAATCAACTCATGGCAACCCTCCACAGCGTTTTCAGGCTGCTTTAAATTATATGGGGGGAGATCGTCCATCTTTCTTCTTAAGAGTGGCTGCTAGATTTGAACCCCTAGAGAGGTGTCACTTTTTAACAGTGCAACTCCCTATAGACTACACCGCCTGAGATCCCACAATAAGTATAAGACCGAGTAAAATAGTCTCCTAGAATTTCGTGGCTCTGAATCTTTATAGAAGCAGGCTGCCACATCTTCCTCTCTTATGCTGAATCTCCACCTTTCCAAGCAGCATAATGTCCTTTTCCAATGACTGGTCCATTCTAACTACATGCCAAAAGTATGTGAGATGAAATTTCACCATCATTGCCCCTCTAAGCAACAGCTTGGTCACACTTTCTCCATTTCCAATGACTGGTCCATTCTAACTACATGCCAAAAGTATGTGAGATGAAATTTCACCATCATTGCCCCTCTAAGCAACAGCTTGGTCACACTTTCTCCAAAACAGCCTTGGTTATTCTTATGGCCATCTATGCGGTATTTGTCATAATGCTGTTTATTGGTCCCGTGGTGAGGATTTTTGTTTCCTTGATGTTGAGATGTAATCCATATTGAAGCCCTTGGTTCTCTGCAACAAGTGCATCAGATCAGGTACTCTTCACTTTCAGCAAGCAAGATTGTGTCACTTGCGTAATGCAGGTTGTTGATGAGTCTTCCTCTGATTCTAATGTTATATTCTTATTAATAAAGTCCTCCTTCTTGAATCATTTGTTCAGCACACAGACTGAAGAAATATGGAGAAAAGATATAGCCCTATCACATCTAATATATTAATAATTCCATGTGTGGTGATTTTTTTAAAAAATGCTTTTTTGGGGAGCTCTGGTGACCTAGTGGCAAGAAGCTGCACTGAAATTCCAGAGGAACACGGTTCGAATCCACCAGGTGCTCTGCTGGAGAAGGAGGCGCAATATCCTCCTGTACCAGTCAGATCTGATTTGATGGTACACGCACACAAAATAAAAAATAAAATAACATAAAAATGCTTCTATACAATGGTGGAGATGGGAAGGAGAAAACCTAGAGTATTTCTTGAGGCTAGAAACTATAGATATATTACAAATTTGAGACAACTGATACTAAATTTATGAGACTGGATTAATTTTGTAATAATTTTTTAAAAACCAGAACCATGATATATCAAGATCTTTCCATCCTGTAACTCTTAACACTGCAAGAGACCATCAGCAACATTTTTTCAAACTCTTAACTGCTGTTAGCATCATTAAGCAATGATGGAAGATGTCATCAATAAGCCTAAAGTACAGAGTATTTGAAAGAAATGATGAAGAATACCAGAGGGAAAAATGAAAACAAATAGATGCGTAAGACACAGAAAGATGTGACTAGTTGCCTAAGAAATGAGAAAAACATTTTAATACTCCAGAGAGTAATAATAATCTCCAGAGAGATTTAAAGGGAGCTCTGATGGCTTAGTTGTAATGAGTTGTGCTGCCAACCTAAAAGCACACGGTCTGAATCTACCAGCTGCTCCATAGGAGAAGGATGCACAATCTCCTCACTTGCTATTAACTGCCTATGAAAACCTGCTGGAGTGTCAGTTATGAATTGGTTCCAATTTGATAGCACACAACTACAACAGAAGAGAGATTTAAAAATAGAAGGGTCCAAGATCTTTTGAGGCTCCATAAATGACTTCTGTCTAATAAGAACTCTTTCAGCACTAAGCAAGGAGTCCCACAGTGATGTAAACCATTAACAACTTCTAACTGAACTTGAGCCCACTTAAAAGTACATGGAAAACAAAGGCCTGGCATTCTACTTGGGGAGATGGAGTGGGCGAGGATGAAGGTGACAGAGGGAAACCTAGAACAATCACTGAAAACTTTAGAGTCAAGTTCTACTAGACACACATGCAGTTGCAAGTCAGAGTCAATCTAAAGTCACTTGTACATTTTAGCATCAATCTCATTTTCAGGGAAAAGTTAAATTGCAGAATCAGTTCCAATGCCATCTAGTTGATTCCAATATATAAAAAACTATGTGTTACAGATTGAGACTGCACAGATTTTCCAAGTCATGTAATCTTTTTTACACAGTGCTTCCAAGTGGGCTAGAAACACCAATATTTACCTCAGTAATTGAGGGCAAAGTGTTGCACTATCCAAGGAGGACCTTTTAGTGCAAAGCTAACGATGTATAAAAACTTCTTTATAGTTAGCCTTCTAATACTTAAAATGCACTCATTGAGTTTCTTTAAGGAAAAGGCCTGCAGTCATTGGTTGCTGATTGTCACTGAGCTGATTAAGATTCATAGTGACTATGATCAATAGATCTGAAACTTGCTTCATTCTGATCCTCTCCCACAGATCAAACCCAGTGTGACGGTCCCTGTGTCACACTATTTTGTTTAGGCTCCTCCTTCCTTTCACTGACCTTCTACCTTTCCAAGGAAGATTTGTTTTCCTAGGACTGGCTCCTCCTGAGAACATGTCCAAAGGACGTGAATGAACTTCCACCATTCTTGCCCCTAAGGAACATTATGCTCACATTTCTTCAAGGATAGATTTGTTTGTTCTTTAGGGAGTGCATGGAATATTCAGTAGATTCTCTCAACACCACAATTCAAAGCCATCTATTTAATTTTCGGTCTTCTTTATTCACTGTCCAACTTACAGATGCACACAAGGCAATTTAATTGAAAAATATATCTATTCAGTCTGTTTTCCAATGCACAGATACACCTAAAGTGTCCATAGAGAACTGTGTCCCACAGTCTTCAGTGGCTGATTTTCACAGGCCAGGTTTTGTTTTTTTTTCCTTTCTGAGACATCTCTGTGTGGGCTTGAACTCCAAACTTTCAGTTAGCAGTCAAGCACATTAACCATTTACACCACCCAGTGATTTATCTACCAAAAGTAATCAAATCCAACATCTGAGCAGGGAGGAAAAACTGGTACCAATGAAGAAATTAATCTTAAAACTGAACAAGGGTGCTTCAATATCAAGTTTGAACAAAGTACATCATAGATGAGAGAGATGTAACAAAATGTAATTGAATTAAAATCTGTATTTCTCACCTGTTTCCTCAAAAACATTTATTAATTCCCTTGAAAACACCTGTTTCAAGAAAATTTAAAAAAAATTAGAAACATATTAGAAAAAATTAAAATTCATTTTCTTTTTTAATGTAAAAGCACATCTTTCTCAGAAACTTCTATGGTCAGACAATATTTTATAGAAACTTTAACAAAACTTTAAGGAAATAGCAGTGCCAAAATTATTTAGAATGTTCTACAGCACAGTAAAACATGAAAAGCCTTCAAAAGTCAGTATAATATTATTACCTTTATAAACCAGTCTTACCAAGTGGAAAAATATCAAATAATACAAGCATAATTCATTAGCATATGAAAAGATCAATATACTACAATGAAGTAGAACTTATTCTAGAAATGCAAAAATGATTTGATACCCAAAATTGATTAACTCAATTCAATAAATCCAAGGAAGAAACAAAGTAAAGTACTTTCATCTTCCTATTTATGGAAAAAATGTCTGGTAGCCTCATTCTTGAAAATGTAATTTAAGACTGAATAAATGGACATTTCCTTAACTTCAAAAGACACAGCAATCACAATCCAAAAGTCAGTAACCTCAATACTAAAAACATTCCACTAAAGTCGATAATAAGAGAAACACGTCTACTACCAACAGCATTTTTAACACAGTTTTGTAGTTACACTCACCAGTATAATTAAACACATGAAAGAAATGTGAAATACAGAATTATCATTTTATTAACAAATATGATTGTTTACCTAGAAAACCCAAGAGAATCAAGTGAAAGACTCCTGCATATAATGAAGAAATTCAACAAGGTCTCTAGATAATAAAAGAACCAAATGAAGTGGCAAGAAATATTAAAATTCTTAAAGATAATTAATATGAAATGTGTAAGCTCTCTAAGAAGAGCTCAAGGTATTACTGTTACATACAACAGAAAACTAAAATCAGACATACCACGTTCAATAGCATAATAATAGTGTCAATTATTTTATTTTATTATTTTGTGTGTGTATGTACCATCAGTTCAGATCTGACTGGTACAGGAGGAGATTCTTCCTCCTTCTCCAGCAGAGCATCTGGTGGATTTGAACTGTGCACCTCTGAGATTACAGTACACCTTCTTGCCACTAGGCCACCAGAGCTCACCAATAATAGTGTCAATTTTTCTTAATCTGCCAGGTGAATTGAATACTAATATAAATATCAACAGAATTTTAAAAATCTAAATAAATTCTAGAGTTAATATAATTTTATGTTATATATGCAACTAGGAAACATTTAGAAAGTTATACTGGGTGACAGTGGTATTCCCTGGACTTCCTTATATGCATATGGATACTATCCTGTCACTCAACACATTATATTTCAAGATGGATCTAGAAATGACTTTTTTTAATTATGAAAGCAACCCCATTTTTCTTCACCTTTTCCTCCAGCATAGTAGATCATATCACCTGATTCAAAATGTCCCATGCCAAGCCATCTCACTTGTCAAGACCTATTATGTCAATATTTATGTGTTCCATTTTTTTCTTAACAAAGTCCAATTTTCCTACACTCATGCTTTTCATAATCCATGTTCAAATCACTAGGGTCTGCTTACAACTGTTCCTCCTTCTTCCATATTTGAGATATCAGCATCAACTGTCATTCTGCTAGTCTAAGTGTGCTTTACGATATACAGGGGGTTTTGTTTTTATTTTTTTTGTGTGTGTGTACTGTCAAATTGGATCTAACTGGTACAGGAGGAGAATGCCCCTCCTTCTCCAGCAGAGCATCTTGTGGATATGAAACGCATATCTCTGGGATTTCAGTACAGCTTCTTTTCACTAGGCCACCAGAGCTCCCTTGTACATAGGATTTTCGAAGGCCTTTTATTTTGGAAGTGGGTAGCTAATACTTCTTCCTAGTCTGTCTTAATTCTTTAGAATAGTATCTGACAGTCATGCAATTTACAGAAAGGAACAGATAAAAGACATTCACCCAATTATAGACATGACCAATAGATTGAATGTTGTAAGGAGGGACAGGTCCTTGGAGAGGGACATCATTCTTGGGAGGGTGGAGGGACAGCGCAAGAGGGGAAGATCCTCTATGAAGTAGACTGATTCAGTGACTAGGGTAATCAGAATGGGTGTGTCAGAGGCAGTGCGATTGGCACAGGATAGAGCAGAGTTTAGCAAGAGCCTATGGTGATGAAGGAAGAAGTTCAAGCTGCTTTGAAGGAAATAGCAAAAAATAAGGCCCCTGGAATAGATGGTATACCAACTGACATATTTCAGCTAACAGATGCTGCCCTGGATGTGCTCACCAAGTTGTGCCAAGAAATCTGGAGAACAACCACTTGGCCAACTGACTGGAAGAGG